AGCATAGAAAGGCACAAAACATATTATTTGTGAATATAGTTGCCCTTTTATACTTTTAAATTATTTTAAATGATTGTGTTTTAAAATCGTCATGCAAGGTTCTGTTTCTTTTGTTGTAAGAAAAGAATGCGGGTCAGTTGGGTTTCAGAAGGGCAGGAAGCAGATGTTCAATGGGTCATGTGGTGTCACGCTGTAAAGATCCTGTGTGCGCATGCAAACCGGGAGGCTATGATTAAATTAGCCATTTCCTGTGCATATATAATGGTTCCATGCATAAGCGATCACGAGGTATCTCTCAACTATATGTTGTGAAAGAACTCTTTAGTCCTTGATACAAAAGGTCTCTGTTGTCTCCTGATTGGATTAGTTTTAGTCCTTGATACAAAAGATCTCTGTTGTCTCCTGATTGGATTAGTTTTTCATCACTCTTTCGATTCTTCTGAGGAGATAACGACAAGGCGTTGACAGGAAATCGACCCAGGCCATTGGCGTCATGTGATGGTGTGATTAGTTTAGACCTCATGATGTTTTGGAGGGGGGGGGAGATCTTTAGATCCTCCTGGAATATGTCTGTTCAATAGTTCACGTGGCGAATCCATAGTTTATTCGGGTCTGTTCGAGACAAAGATCCTACATGTAAGGAATTGCATAATTGTTGGAGAGGATCCAGCAGATTGCCTCTGACAACATGTCGAAAATTTTAGGGTTGCTTCTGCAGCCGAAAGTGAGGCCGACGGAAAAGTTAAATTCCGGGTGAATGGGCATCACTTTAAAGGCAGAGGTGATGTCGACTTTGGCCAACCAAGCGCCGCAACCCACGCGCGTCTTTGATCAGGGTAATTATGAAGTTTGCATCGGTTTCTTTTTTAATTAGGAGATCGACTGTTTTGGGTTCGGTGAGAGCGGACTGGACATGGGGCAGATGAGGCTTTGGGAGGGGAGATTTCCGACACTGGGGTGAAAGCCATGTGAGAGACCCGATAGTAGATAATCTGTGAAATGGGAGTCAGGATGATAAAGCAATTCTGAAGACAAATGAGAAACATTTACAGGAGTAGATAAGTATTGTTTAGCATTTTTATTTGCAGCTTTTTGCACTAGACCTATCAAGCGGGCGAGCACCTCCACTAAAATTGCAAACATGCATAAAACAGAAGCGCTGCCTTGAGCATCTGCCAGTATTGAAACTGGCGCAGACCTGGCTATTAGAGGAAGCTGAGCGGCGGCGGTAGGTGGAAGTGGGGGGGAAAGGTGAGGTTGGGATGTCTAGGAGGCGCGGGACGTAGCTGGTGGATTTGGGCTGGGATGGCTCGGGGCAGGGGGGAATAGATGAGTTGATGAAAGGGCATGTAATGGTGGAGTGGGCAATGGATCGGCTGAAGAAAGAGGGGGAATGGTGGGCGTCAGGGCTTGCGCCATAAGCGAAGGCATGCTCGTGCTAGAGATGGACGGTGGGGCTGCGGGCCATGGGTAGGGAAGGGGGTAAGGAGAGGGGTGAGGCAAGGGCTGTGGGTAGGTCTGCGCCGCTAGCGGAGGCGTGCTTACGCTGACGCGGCGGCATCCATGGAGCGGCCCAGGCTTGCTGAAGGCCTTCTTCCCATCCTCGAGGGAGTGGTGGTTTGCTCGGGCCGTGAGTATGGAGCATTGCTGCCCTGGACGGAGGAGTGGAGCTTGAAGGCACCCCTGTTTGGAGGGAAGTATAGAGGAGGCCTTCTTCCCGGCCTCGAGGGAGTGGTGGTTTGCTCGGGCCGTGAGTATGGAGCATCGCTGCCCCGGACGGAGGAGTGGAGCTTGAAGGCACCCCTGTTTGGAGGGAAGTATAGAGGACGAGGAGATCCGCCTTGACCGGCCGTCGTGGGACGTTGTCGCCGGAGCTGATGAGCACCTGACGTAGTCCTGCCATGGTCCATTTCTCCGCAGCTGGGGTAGAGGAGAGGGCTGAAGCATAGGAGGACGCTGGAGAAGATGGCTGACGCCTGGAAGACGAAGGTGATGTCGTGCCTCGGTGTCTGAAGGTATGAGCGACGGCGGCGTGGGAAGGCCGGTGGCCCCGTGTTGCAGCCGCGGGCTCGATTATGGTGTCCTGCGGAGCGCTGGTATGCTGAATGGCGACGCCGGAGGACCCGTGGTGTCGAATGCATTGTCGTCTGGATTGGATTGGACTCTATTATGGAGTTCAGTGTCCAAAGCCCCCCAGTAAGGACATTGGTTCCATTGGGCCACACGGATGGCGCATTTAGCTGCAAATTTGTGGTACGTGTAAAAGTGAGAGCTGCCGTATGATAACGCGAGTTCTCTCTCACGACTATCTCACGATAGTCGTCGTGCTCACGTCTCCTGTGAGGGAAAACAGTGCAAATGATTTCTGTGTAACGGGTGAAAGCGATCATGAATTTGGCAAATGATAAGATACGTGATGGGTTGTGAGCTGTTTTTTAGAGTGACAGAAAATCCACCGCAGTCGATTTGGCAATTTGCAGACGAAGGTGAAATTGGTGACAAAAGGGAAAAAAGATCTACATCCGCACCTGATAAGATCTGTGTTGCTGGCCATGGGGGGGGTGGTCCGGAGGGGTGGGTAGGGGCGTGGCGGAAGAAAGAGAGAAGGAAGAGCGAGCGAGGGGAGGTCTGTGTGTGAAGGTATGAGCGACGGCGGCGTGGGAAGGCCGGTGGCCCCGTGTTGCAGCCGCGGGCTCGATTATGGTGTCCTGCGGAGCGCTGAACGGCGACTGGAGACGCCGGAGGACCCGTGGTGTCAAAAGAGTTATCGTCCGGGAATAGTTCAATCTATGACATGTTGCGGCGATTGGATGTGCCAATGCTGAAAGACTAGAAATAGTGAAGGTAGGACTGCTTTGATTATTTATAGGGGTTCTCTCTTGTGCCAAAAGAGTTATCGTCCGGGAATAGTTCAATCTATGACATGTTGCGGCGATTGGATGTGCCAATGCTGAAAGACTAGAAATAGTGAAGGTATGACTGCTTTGATTATTTATAGGGGTTCTCTCTTGTGCCGGTTGGATAATTACTGATGATGGATTGGCCGTGTTAATTATCTGCACGTGCTCCTCCCGAAATTTGTTAATAAAACATCACTT